CATCAAGGAAGTAGACTTGTTTTATATAAAGGTTGGGGCTAAGATTGATGGTAGTGTGGAAACTGAGATGTTGATGGAATTTTATGTAAGACTTTTTTATGTTGCAGATAATATCAAGGAATTTTAAGGAAAATAGATTTCAGGCATAAGAGTATAGGAGATATTATTCTAAGTCAGTTATTAAAAAGTTGGCATATTGTGGGACCACAGCCATGCTACTGATTTGCGGGTCAATATTGCCAAAATTAAAATACTTACGTTATAAAGATTTATAGTCTGGTATCAAACTGTGTTGCATTGACATCAGTGATGATCCCATTAAAAGACACACCACAGAAAAAGGACAATTGGTTGTTACCTTTAATTCAAAAGTCAAGCCCTGAAGTCAGAGGTGGTATTCAGCCAGTTCTGACCAGTTCTGGAGAACCAGTAGCAAAAATTTTGAGTAGTTCACAGAACCGGCAAATACCACCTCTGACTGGAGATTTTACAATATCCTTCCTCTGCCACGCCCACCAAATCACGCCCACAGAACTGGTAGTAAAAAAAATTGAATCCCACCACTGCCTGAAGTATATTATTACTGTAAGCTAAACCCATACTAAATAAACACTGCACTTTCTTAGGCTTTGGGTGGCAGATTCATGCTTACACCCAACCTGTAGTAATTCTCACAAGCAATCAAAAACAATGGAAGATGATGTTAACGTGGAAGTAGACCCTGCAACCAACCCAAATATCTATGTTGCTCCCAAATTCACAACAACAGCATCACCATCACAGGCTCCAACAACTTCACACACAAGATTAGAGGCGTTTTCGCATGTACCTCCTCGAGTGTAATATATACCATCATTTGTGGGGTCTTTGTTACTCTCTGAGGTTTTCTGTTGTTTTCTGGAAGACATTTCATTATCAAGCTAGGTAACATCTTCAGTGCTAGAAGAGTGTTGGGTTTACTCTTCAGCTAACAGTAAACAACAGCCTAATCAAGAAAGCCACCAAGACCACTCCCACCAACACTGGCAGGGCCAGCCATTAGTATATAAAATTACAGCAACTCCCTTCCCCCTAACACTGATGATGTTACCTATTTTGATAATGAGATGTCTGCAAAAAAAAATAACCAAGTTCAGATAGCACCAAGGACCCCCGCAGTTCAACTCTGAGCTACAAACAATCTTTTCTATCAATACCATATTCTGTCATCAATGCCCCAGTGGATTCTAAGTGGGACAAATAGGTCACACTGAACAAATGCAATGTTTTCAATACATTGTAATTAAAGCTTACACCTTTCAACAAATGTATTGGTCTGAAAAGATGCTATCAGATTACTTCTGATTTTTGGATATCATACTATAGACCAGGGCTGTCAAACTTGCGGCCCACAGGCCGGATGCATCACGTGCTGGCCACGCCCATGCCTGGTTTAGGGAAGGGGAAAAAAGTCATGGTAAACATCACGATCCCACTGTGATGATGACACCTCTGCTGTAGACTAATACAGTCCCCTCCTATTATTTGCACCCTTGTAATTCACCTTTGAAGAAGGATAATTATAGTTATTTAAGTTTGCTTAGCTATGGTTTTGATGCACTGATTCTTTTGGTAAGACCAAGTTTAATAAGATGTTTTGAATAAACTTCTAAGGAAAATAAGATTATGTTCTTATGGACAATTTTCTAGGGCTGAACTTTCTGATAACTTATGGGAACACAAGTATTTTTCTGTTAAGTTTTACACTCCTTGCTTCCTTTGGCTTAATGTAATGCCATGCACCTACTCAATGTGTACAAAATATCTTCCTATTGAGTAATTAATCAGTGACTATTTCTTCCACATAAATGACTCATAAACATTTGCATAGGGTGTGAACTTCAGATCGAAAGAAGTACTGCCATATTTCCATTGGAGGCAGAAGCTTAATGAGTAGTAATATAGACTGGGATACTGTGTCTATTCCTCAGAAGAATACTGTCATTTGCATGATCTCAAAATTTTTAAAATCCAGCAGATATGGAAAAGTTCATGGGTCAAATGGAAAACTCTGCCTTAAATGACATAACTATTAAACAGTGGTTTATATAAAGCAAGTGTAAATTTAGTCTCAAGGCATCATGCCTTGTAATAATAACCAATAATTTTGAAATGTGAGGATGTTTTTTTAAATTGGAGACCTAACGCTACTTAACAGTCCTGAATGTAACCTGAAACTATTGCAGCACCTGGTACTGCTTAATTTGAACCTTCATCATCCCCTCCCACATTCCAAGGCCCAGCATTTCAACCTTCACTCAGCCTTTTGCCCCAGGCTTCTTTCTCTGTTTTTGTAACATTTTGTGAGATGAAGAAATATCAGGGCAACTTCAAAACCCTTTATATTTTTATTACTTTTAGACTGCCCTTTACAAGACTTAATAAGGATTCTGAAACTTTTTAAAATAGAATGATATAAGTGGAACTATATTTGTCAGAGGAAATGAGTGGACAGAAGGACATTGACCACCATTGAGTTTCTCTCAGCCAGAGTTTACTCTTGGAAACAAAGTGACAGGCTGATGATTATAGGCATGGAAGGCACAAAGCAGCAAAAAAGGTAAGTTGGCTTTTCCATATGCAATGCAACAGCCTCAATAAGTGAGAGACTCTTCATACTTATGACTTGCTATTACTGCCCCGCTGAAGATAGCTTGAAAACAATGTCTATATGAATCACAAGGGTTTTTTTGGTTTTTTTTAGTAGAGAGTTGACTCTCTTTAGGCTTATTTGTTTAATGGCTTACTAGATAAATACTGCCTATTTATCTAAATAAGTGCAGTAGCTATTTTTAAAATGGGAGTTATCTTTATTTTATTTTATTTTATTTGTCAAACAATTATAACAGGTATAAGTATAAACATAGTTATGAATTCATGAAATGGATACATATAAGAAAAATAAAAAAATAGGACAGCGACAGTAGGCACGTTGGTGTGCTTATGCATGCCCCCTACAGACCTCTTAGGAAAGAGGTGAGGTCAATAGTAGACAGTCTAAAGTTAAAGTTTTTGGGGTTTGGGGAAGAAACTACAGAGTCAGGTAGAGTATTCCAGACATTGACCACTCTGTTGCTGAAGTGGTATTTCCTGCAATCAAGTTTGGTGCAGTTTACCTTGAGTTTGTATCTATTGTTTGCTCTTGTGTTGTTATGGTTGCAGCTGAAGTATTCATTGACAGATAGGACATTGCAATATATAAGTTTATGTACTATACTTAGATTGGACTGAAGGTGGCATAGTTCTAGATTTTCTAGGTCTAGAATTTCAAGTCTGGTGGTATTCTGCAAGAGAGGAGAGAACTCTTCTTGTGAAATATTTCTGGACTTTCTCAACTGTATTAATATCAGATACATAATGTGGGTTCCAGACTGATGAGTTGTATTCAAGTATTGGTCTAGCAAATGTTTTGTATGCTCTAGTTTGTAATGTGATATTTCCAGAGAAAAAGCTAAGTAGGATTAGGTTAACAACTCTTAATGCCTTTTTGGCTATGTAGTTACAGTGGGCTCTAGCACTTAGGTCATTAGGGATGAGTACTCCAAGGTCCTTGACAGAGTTTGGATCATCAACAAGGTCTTGACTATTCAGCCTGTATTTTATTTTCTGATTTCTTTTTGCCAATATGTAGGACAGAGCATTTTTTTGTTGAGATTTGAAGTTGCCATTTGTTTGACCATTCTGATACATATCTTATCTTCGATATTGCAATACATCTTCCTGTAATAAATGAGCATGCTTATCAAGTAAAGTATCTCATCGAGGGCTCGTAAGACCTATTGAGAGGGGGACAGTTTCTGCGGTTGGAGATACTTGGAAAGTGACGCCGGGGCGTAAACTCTCTTGCCTAACGCTAGAAGTGGGGCTGGAAGGGTTCGATTAGTCATTGGCAGCTTCGCTCTTTCCACAAGGGCAGAGGCGCTGCTGCTTCGATGGCGTCCCCGCTCTCAGCTCACAGATTTTCTTTCTTCCCAAACTGGGTGGATGCCGACTCTCTCGCCCCATTTCCAGGGTGGCCAGCTCAACCACCAGGGCTGCTGGGCAGGGCCTCGGTTCATCCCCAGAGAGGCAGCGGGCTAATTGGATCAGAAAGTCCCTCCCGCCCCCGTTGCGGGCAGAGGGGTGGAGGAAGCTCCGCGTTTTTCCTGGCTTCCTAAAACCAGGCCTCCTTTGCCCAGAGCAGACCAGCTCCCGCAACGTCCTCCTGGAAGCCTCTGGGGTTTGCCCAAGTCCGCCCATCGCCCGGGAGGAGGGCCAGGCCCCTTTGGCTGGACGTCCATCAGCTTGAAATAGCGGGGAGGGGCTCGCTCGGCCCGAAGAGATCGCTCGCCGGGGGCAGCCGAGAGAGGGAGGCGGATTGATCCAGCCTGAAGGGCTTGCGGAAAGGTGCCTTCCCCGGCCGCCTGTTGCACCGGAGGAGCCCCGAGACTTTCCGCTCAGCGGGAATCCTCCAGAGCAGCCGTCGGAAGAGGTGAGTCGCCTAGTAACCCTGCTCTCCCCCAGGGGCCATAGCGGGGCGCGCGTCCATTGCGGCGCCCTGTGCCTGCTGAGCCGAACCCCACGCGCCGAAGAGGGGCCCGCGCGCAGAGGGGTTACTGCACCCCCCCTCCCCCTCCTCCACTGGGAAATGCCTCTCCGACCAGCCTTTTCGAGTAGGTACGAGGGGGGCCCGTCGTCCCCTGGCTCGTTTTTCGTCGCGCTCGGCTGTTCGGGGAAAAGGGGTCCTGGAAGTGGGAAGACAGAGGGCGATTGTCCTCGCTCAGCTGCTGCGCCGGGGAGGGAAGAGCGGCCGGAGCACAGAGGGGGCGGAGAGGAGCCGCGATCGGCCCGCGGGGGGCTGTTCGCTCTCCTCTGCAGCCCTCGCTGCCTCCCGGCCGTGGTTCTTGGTCTCCCTCCCACGTTGCTCGCTGCGGGCAGGGAGGGAAGAGAAGAGCTGTCCCGGTTGAAACTGCCACACCTACCGCGGAGTTTCTGCCGAAGAAGGCATCGCCTGTGCGTCCTGGACTCGTAGGGTAGCCCCGATTCCCGCTATGGGAGAGTTTGGTTTCGTTGCCGAGTGGGACTTTCTTAAAACCGAGGCGGGAACGAATCGTTGAAGACTCGGGACCCGGGTCCTTTCCTGTTTGGTGGGCCCCTCGGTTCCTCCGCAGGGTCTTCGGAGCGGGAATCCATTTGCTGCGAAGCAGCCTGGAGGGTCCTGAGGGGAAAAGAAGAAGGTGGGAGAGGGGTCTCCATTGTGAAGGCGAGAATAGCTGGAGCTGCTTCTGCTGAAACCCGAAGCTCCGGGTCCCGCAGGGAGTTGGCACAACTCTTATTAAATACGTGGAAGGGGCAGAAATCGCTGTGGGAAGCCTTCGCCCTGCCTCAGTCCTGTACTTTTACAGGAGCCAGGCAACAGCGTTGGCTGTTGTAACTCTTCTTTACCACACCTTCATAAAAACAAATGTTAAGCAACGAAATATACTATAGCTGCACAGTATAGGGGGTAAGAGGAGTGAGTACCTTAGGAGCTTTCCATCTGGAAGCACCTGTAGCTTCAAGGCTAGTAACCCCCTTCTTCTGCTGTTGTACTTTCAAATACTGTATCCTGCCTTTAATAATACCTTGATATTTGACAGAAATCATTCAAAGACAACTTAGAACATTTGCCATTTGCTTACTCACCATATGCTCAAGGTGAGAGAATTAAATAAGATTGGATCTGTTTAAATGGGACATGCCCAAATCCTCCTGAGAGCATAGTATCATAACATGATGGAATTTGAAGGAACAGTGGAACCCTGATCTCGATTTTGCCGTGAGTTCCGACTTTTCTAGAAATAACTGATGTCAAATAAGAGGAGCCGTTCATATAAATAAAAAAGGTTGATAATGTGGGCAAGATGTTTGAACAAAACAGAAGGATAAAAGTCAAAACTCTTACAGTAATAAAATGGGAATTATACTGCTTCAGACTTCCTCTGATAGGTTATGCTGGAAACAAAAACTTTTTAGCTGGGAAATAGCTCTCTCAAACTCTTGGACAAGCAGAATCCGGGTGTATTCTCGGGTCTTGTGACTTTGTTATTGGGCTTCATAAATTCTGGACTTTTCTGATCAGAAGGAAAAGAGGTTCATATGGCTGCACTCATATTCTTACATATGCTATCTGTGCTTTGTCCTTTCTTGATTTGGAAGAGGTCAGAAGCTCTTCAAGACAAATGTCAGAGGAATTTTGCAAGCTGTACAAACTGAACCAGTCTAACAGCTTTCTGTGCCAACCAAGGTTTCTTTACTTATCCTATTTCTTTGAAGAGTTAGTCAAATAAGAGAGAAAGCCTGGAGTGCTTCAAATATCTTTTTCTGAATTTTGCATGACTTCAAAAGATGATGTAAGATCCACGCAGCTCTGAGACTACTAACATTGGAATATCTGTTTTTAGTAGTACGTGGTAATATAAATCTGCCTGAGGATTTCTTATCTTGTAAAAAAGATTTAAAATCTTATTTTAAAAATGATGTCATTTAATTAGATTTTTCTCTGAACACTATGCATTACATCTCTTAACATAGAGAATAAAAATGGCAATGACTGGATTGCATCTATAATGTGCGTAGACAATAAAATTACACTGACTCACCTAACTCTAAGCATGAGCTGAAGTGGAACAGAAATGGAATTCTTTATGGTATGTTGCACAATAAAATACCTGATGTTTTATTGAAGGCTTGTTTGTTCCAGCCCTTGTTCCATAGCTTCTGACAGCTATGAAGAAACAAAATGATTACTTAACCTCTCACAAATGCTAGCTAGGAGGTAGAAATATATGAGATATTCTACAGATTTGTGTGTTCTTGTCATGGGAGCCAAGATTAGGCAGTAATTTCAGTTAAGCACTTTATTCCCCCCCACCCCCGCGCGCCTTTACTTGGATTCCTGAGTACAGAATATTGTACTTTCTCCGGCATTTAAAGCATGGATGTGTGCTATTTTTTCTAGAACAACAGAGACAAGTTTCTCATGGGCATTTAACCTCACAATTTCCCAAGGGTGGGAGGTGAGCCTAATTTTTCAAGATGGCTGAGATGCTATCTGTACAGCCAGAGGAAAGTTATTTTGTGTGCTTTTAAGTGAAACAAATTTGCCAATATAGCTTGTGGGAACAATATTTCCAGCCAGGATTTAAAGAATCGCTAACTCAATGACTTCCAACTATCTCTAATTTTCAGAACAAATATCTTAGGCTTCATGTTCCTTTGGTACATGAAAGGTGAGATCTTATTGCATAATTGAAACAAGCCTGTTTTAAGGTAGAGATGCATGTTAAAGGACACTAGCTTTTGGGGTCTTTGAATGGTCTCTGAGCATGATTGTTTGGTTGCAGACATGTCACTGTCTGGCTAGGTAACATCCGTGTGAGTGAGTGTGGGATTCCTTGTTTATTATATACAGTAGCTTTCCCTAGCTGTTTGAAATCCATTGTATGCATTGTATACAGGTAGTCCTTGACATACAACCATTCGTTTAGCAACCATTTGAAATAACAACAGCACTGAAAAAAGTGACTTATGACTGGTTCTCACACAACTGTTGCAGTATCCCCACAGTTAACGTGATCAAAATTTGGGCGTTTGGCAAATAGACATATATTTATAGTGGTTGCATCATAAATAGTGGGGTCACATCATTGCCATTTGCAACCTTCCCAAGTGGGAAGCTGCATGCACTCAACGACTGCATAATTCACTTAACAACTGCAGCGATTTACTGTAACTGCCTTAGGAATGGAATTTTTGGGGGCTCAATTATGGTTATAAGTTGAGGACATTGTATATAGTTTCCATAAATTATGAATATAGAAAGGAGGACTATAATTGAATTAAAGCAAACTATTAAATTTGATTTAGCTATTGCCTAGTGTTTTTTTAATTAACTGAGATTTGGGTGAGGCTAAAATGCCTTTGTAGATGCTTCAGGACTTAATAGATTATTTATATTCTGCTGCAACCAAATAATTATTCTCTACACCCAATGGATAATCCAGGGCTGCTTACTTCTAGAGCATAAGGATGTAGTTGGAAAAAGCTCACAAAGTTGCATATCACAACTGTTCGTATTGTTATTAAACACTTGACATATCTATGGGTGAATTTAGTATATTTCTCAGCAAATTATTCAGTTCTTCCATAGAGGATATTATTCAGACATATCACAGATTCTCAATATGTGAGACTTGATTATTTACTGTAAGCTTTATTTATAAAGATGCTTTTTTTTTCTGAGGGTAAAAAGAAATGGAGATTGTAGATTGAACTAAGAAATCTCTACATAAAATCTTGCAAGCTGTATTCTTATTTCAGGGGAGTTTTCTTACAAACTAACTGCCCTTCCTTAAAACATTCATTTTAAGAATGTTTTGAAGAATCTCTTACATTTCAATAAAGTTTTGATTATTTGAACTACATATAGAAACATTCTTAAGAGTCATATTGTGCAAAGAGAAACCATTCTTGGCTCTGCCAAGAAGCCCTTCCTGTAGTTGATGATAACTGTGTGTGATTACAATGGCTCTGCATTGTAATTTTCTTGATATTTACATTGTTGTATTAGGTATTAGGTAATCTACACAGCAGGGTTTGGATTAACCTATCAACTGAATTGCCAATGTCAACCCATAAACAAACACGCTTCTGAGAATGTAAAAGTTGTCCTTTATTGTTGTAACCATCATACTACTGTTTCATGGGTTTTTATTACCTTGGATAGGAAGAAGAGAGGTGTGAATGTTGGTTTGTCATTTAGAATAACACTTTCCTTGCTTGAACCACAATCTACAGAAGCTGTAGCTGAATCTTCCTGCACAGTTGTTTACTGTATAGCCATTATTGAGCTGTCATGTCAATAGATGCATTTAGGCATAATCTGGGTCACTTAACATGGGAATCACATGCCTCTGCATTGGATGTTTAAATGCACGGCACTGTAATAAGAGTAATTTTCTGGATATTTGCATTGTAGTATGGGGAATTATGTGTGGCATAATTGAATGTTTAAATCCATGGCTCTGCACTGTAATTTTCTTGATATTTACATTGTTGTATTAGGTATTATCTGACATAATCATGGTAGGTTACAATGTGTTTCTTTCACAAGTTAGCCATCCTTCGCATACTTTACAACAAGTTGAGACAATATTTCTGCTATTCAGGAATTAAAATTTTGTAGGCTTGTCTAAGATTCTCAAATCATGTGATTAAGAGTACAGTAAACCTTTGATTTAATAAACTAATAGAGGGCAGAACTGTTAGTTTCAAATTCGTTCAAATGTCAATTGAATAGGATTGTAATACAAGAGAAAAATCTGAAATGGGATTTAATGCATACATCAAAGGGTGTAACATAACAACTGCATAAAATGATGAATAGTTTGTATATTGCATCTAGAGACTGCTAAAGTAAGGTAAGTTAGTTGAAGGTTAACTGCAGTTAGAAATATATACAGCTGCTTGTATATATCTATATATGTCCTCTCATGGATGTATATGTCCTCTCATGGATTATAAACCTACAAGGTTTTATTTGTAAGCAGAGTTGTGCCCATGTGTTGACAGGATCTCTTAATTTTTTAGTCAGTTGATATGTATCATTAAGTACTATATCAATAATCGTCACAACAAATGTCTTAGATTACTAGTATCCTTGTGTTAAAACAGAATGGAAATAATGGAGACGTGTGACTTACTAAGATAAAGCAGTCAATTCATGGGTGGGTTGATAATTGTAGTAGAACTATATACCTTGTATTTATTAGTCCAGATATGTTAACATTTTCATCCCTATAAACAATAGAGACCCAATTACATGCAGTTATTACTATTGTATTCGTTTAGGTTAGCTATCCTTGAATTATTTTCACTATACACTCGAAGTATAATTCTGCCCAACTCAAGAGTATCATTTCCTATATATTACTTTCCTGTGTTAGTGATTGTACAATCTCAAAATATGAAATACAAAAGTAATATTTCATTTATAGGTTGCTTGTTATCTCTAGATACAACTTCATTCTCCAAATTTGGGAGAGGGGGGAGAATCTTGGTCATAATTACTCTTAATGTCTCAGTTTTCTTTATATGTGTGTATATATACAGGTAGTCCTTGAATCATTATTACAATTGGGCCCAGAATTTCCATTGCTAAGTAAAGTGATTGTTAAGGGGGGGTCACACCTGATTTTATGATATTTTTCCTTTTTTATGATCTTTTTCCATGGCTTTTGAGCAAATTACTATAAGTGAATCATATGGTTATTAAATGAATCTAGCTTTCCCCATTGACTTTATTCTTGGAAGCTGGCTGGGAATGTTGCAGATTGCAATCACATGACCCCAGGATACAGAAACTGTGTAAATATATGACAGTTTCCAACAGCCCAAATTTTGATCATGAGACAGTGGGGATGTGCATGTGACCGTTGTAAGTGCAAGGACCAATCATAAACCATAAGTAACTTTTTCCAGTGCTTTAGTGATTGATGAATGAATGGTAAGCCAAGTACTACGTGTGTGCCTGTCTGTCCATATAATTTATATATTCATTTAGAATTTTTCAATGTAGCAAAATATACAAAGCAAACAGGAACACAGATAGAAAAATGTGAGAGATAAAAGAACTATTAAAAAAAACAAACCATTTACGCCTTCTACTTTTCTTTCTGTTAAGCAATTGACCCCTTAAGTTTTCCCAAACCTTTTCATCTCTTTTTGGTGTCTACCAGAGTTTTCAGTTATTCACTAAAATGGAAATTATGCAATATTTTTTTTGGGAGCTGATGCCTGTATTTCATAATTTAACATGCTGCAGAGGAAGGATGTCGGGCCATGAGGGAAAAAGGTGACGAGCAGGGATAAAAATGCAGTTAGCATTAAGTTAAGTATGGTGTAATTACTCCCTCACTCAAGGCACAAAATGATCAGACTCAAATTATCCTACTTTGGAAACTTCATACAAAGGCCCAGCTCCTTGGAAAAGGCTCTTGTGCTGGGAAAGATGGAAGGAAAGAAATGAAGAGGATGACCAGCAGAAAGGTGAATTGGACTCCATTACAGTGGCAATGAGTGCACCGTTGGAAGACCTGCAAGTTCAAGTTAGGCAAAGGTCATCACGGAGAAAATCCATCAATGTAATCACTAAGAGTTAGTACCAATTTGACGACACATATCATTCCTCATGTATTCAATAATTGTTCTGCCTGTCAATTACAATTCAGGGAGAAATTTTGTAGGGCCTCGAGGGAGGCTGCACCCAATAATTTGGGAGTAATGTATACTCCTGAGACCTCAGGTTGTGTGTCTGTAATTAAAAACAATGATTATGTTATATATTGTACATGGTTTTTAAAGTACAATGTTAATGATTCTTGTCAAAACTGAAAGTAGAAACATTTAAGCATCACAATTTTGTTTAAAAAACTGATTAACTTCATTCAAACTATTAAGAATAACTTTTATAATACATATTTTTATATTTCAAATGTTCTTCCCACTAAGGCAGCAAATTATTAGTGTCTTTCATTGATATATTATTTTCTACAATCTTAAATCTTCATGTGT